ATGTTTCAGGACAGAGGAAAGGAAAGAAGGAAGGACCATGGAGTGGGTGTAGCTTACAAAGGAAGGAAGTGCTGGCTACAGAGTGTTTGGAGTAATGGTATTTCTGACTTTGCTGAGAAGATATTCAGAGGGAACCACCACTCTGCTTATGTATAACTAGAGGCCTGGTGCACGAATCTGTGCATGGGTGGGGTCTGGCTGGCCTGCCCCGGATCGTGGCTGATCAGGCCAGGCCAGCTGCAGGGAGGGGCCGTGGGCTGTTGGCTGGCCGGCCCCACCCCCTGGTCAAAGTCCTGGTCGAGGGGACAATTCGCATATTAGCCTTTTATTATATAGGATGTGGGCCTTAAACAGTGGTCATTTGGGGGCTACCCTTCAGGGCAGAAATTGTGGGCTTTCTGTTCTGAACATGGGGTCATGCTAATAGGGCCTCCATCAGCAGAAAGTACCAGTGGGTGGACCACTGTCCATACCAACACCATGATTCCAAAATCTGACTTGAGCCAGATGTACTTTCCTTTCCACAGCTGCACTTTAAAGGGAATAGGACTGGCTGTATTTTTTCCTGAGACCAGGGGAACTTTCAGCCCAACTCCCCTCGCTACATTTTTGGGAATCTGGTCTCCTGGCAGATACTTGGGGTTTTCATGGTCCTAGTTGATGATCACTATCAAGTTTCTCCTACCCACCAGCTCTTCTATAACCCAGAGTTTTACTTTACTGTCAAATTTATTGGTTTGGGGACATTCTGAGCAATGATTCTTGCCATGATGAATCCCTTGCAAAGGAGGAAAGGAAAAGTGAACAGCTGATTTTTACAGTGTTGAAGGTTGTCCTGGAGTTGCATAATCAGCTCAGAATCACCAGATAATTCCCATTCTGACCTGGCCAGTGGAAGGAAATAGCTGCATTAGGAGAACAACCAAGCCCCTGCCCAGCTGTTCCCGGGGTAGGGTGGGGCAGGGCAGAGCTGAGTCCTGCTGCTAAGCACCATGTGTGAGCCATTTAGCCCCAGCAAAGGCCAGAGCTGTTCATCTCTTCCAGCAGGATAGATAGATAGAAAGTGGGGATTAGGAGGGCCATTAGGACACAGCCATGCCACTTTAGAGTTTTATTTTCCATTCTTTCCATTTACGAATGAGAAATCTGGGGCTCCAAAAGGGGAAATATCTGGTTCAAGATCACACATTTGCATTGTTGGTAGAGGAGAAATGAGAACTCCAGTCTCCTGACTTCTAATTTCAGTGCTTGTTCCTTGACACTAGGCTTTGGAAATGTTGGGAGAAACAAGATGAAGCCATCTTCTTTATCACCAGATTTCTGAGCCTTTAATATGCTAACTTGCACTGTGTCTTTCTTCTTAGAATATGGTTTTCAGGCTTTCCTAAGCTTTTTTGACCAGACTACTTTTTAATACAGTGTGTTGTATCGCAAATCAGCAAGCTGAACAAGAAAGACACCTAATGAGCCAATTAGTTAGGAGTCATCTTTATTGCACGCAGGTTCAGAGCAGATTACCTCTGTCAGATTCTGAAACCCCCATACAGTAAGTCTCCCATATTTTATACTTTTCGAGCCTCTTTGTTTGCAGATATTACAAAGGGCTCTGTGTGAGTTATTGTTACAGACAGTTGTAACCTTGAACTCATAATGAGTTTGTACTTGGCATAAGAATATGGGAATGATCTATTACATTGGATGGCTAGCTTGCAAGGTCAGACAGTTAAGCTTATCTTTTTCTATTATTTGAACTAAGAACAAAGTCATTTTATAGAATAACAGACTGTCTTAAAGTGACAGAGTTTATAATGACAGAGTTTACAGGACTAAGGACTATCAATAGCAGAGAGTTTCAAACAGCAGTTTCATACAGGATGGAGGTTGCTGTGCTTCACGTGTCTGTATGCATTCTCCAGAAAAGGATTGGAGGATTTCTCTTAACAGTGTAGGAAACACTGCCCTATACCATGCTGTTACTATTAGTGCTACACACAAAAGCTACCTAACGCAATCCGTACAATCCACACCATACAGCAGTGATGCTGAGACCCAGGGTAGTCAGCAGTGGTAACATCATCGGTCATTCTGAAGATCAGCAGTAAACTCTGCATCACAAAAAGCAGAAGTGTGTGTGGTGGGGTGGGGGAGGGGGAGGTGGGGAGGACAAGGGCTAATGGTCAGCTCCTCGCTGACATGCAGGGCCTATCTGAGCATATGTGAGGTTTAGGGCTGGTCAGCCTTTATGAATATGCATTGATTGTGTCCTAGTCCTTGCCCTCAAGGATATCACAGTCTAGTAGGGGGACAAGTATTTAAAAGCATGAGAACTGTGACAGATGCGATGACGGAGTATGTACCACAAGGCAAAGTTAAAGGTACTAAGGAGGGAGAGAGTGAAAAGTTAGGCCTGGAAAAGGGGAGCAGAGGCGGAAGCTAGAACAACTAGGAGGTCAGGGTTGGATTCCCACTCAGGGCACATGCCCGGGTTGTGGGTTGCAGGCTTGGTCCCCAGTGGAGGGCGTGCAAGAGGCAGCCGATCAGTGATTATCTCTCTTCATTGATATTTCTATCTCTCCCTCTTCTTCTCCCTTCCTTTCTTTCAGAAGAAGAAGAAGAAGAAGGAGAAGGAGAAGGAGAAGGAGAAGGAGAAGGAGAAGGAGAAGGAGAAGGAGAAGGAGAAGGAGAAGGAGAAGGAGAAAAATTTATTGTGCAGTGAGGCATGCAGAGGCTACCAGTTCTAACAAAGTAGCTCCTGATAATTTTGTGACAGAATTTCAAGAATACGTAGAAGCTGAGGGATTTGCTCCCTAACAAGTGTTCAGTTGTGAGGAGACAGGCCTCTTCTGGAAGAAAATGCCAAAGGACCTACATCACACAGGAGGAGAAGTCATTGCCAGGACTCAAGCCAATGAAGGACAGGCTGACAGTATTGTTGTGTGGGAATGTGAGCAGGGACTTTAAATTGAAGCATCTATTTATCTACCATTCTGAAAAACTTCGAGTTTTCAAAAGAAAGAATGTCATGAAAAACAAATGGATTGTGGTAATATGGAGGGCTAATAGCAAAGCTTGGGTAACCAGGCAATGTTTTATTGAGTGGATTCATGAAGTGTTTGCCCCAAGTGTGAAGAAATAGCTCCAGGAAACACAATTGCCACACAGGGCACCTCCTGTGGGGCACAGGCTGCTGCCCACCCCCCGGCGTGGAGGCCGGGTTGGTGCAGGAGCACAGCTCCATCACCGGGAGGCTCTTGGCACTCCAACTCCTCTCATCCAGCCCATGGACCAGCAGGTCATTTCTAATGTTAAGAAACTCTACCCAAAGGCACTGTTTCAGAAGTGTTTGGAGGTGATCTCTGAAGTGAATTGGACATGCACTGTATATCAGAAAGGTTAAAACGAACCATTTGGGGGTCTGGAACATATTCAATTCAATTATTGAATTATTTCTAATGGGGAAAAATGATTTCGTTTTCAAACAAATCGCTTTTCAAATAGCCTTCCGGAACAAACTGAGTTTGAGAACCGAGGTTCCACTGTATTTGGCAAAGAGTCTGACTCTTGAAAACAACTCATCTGCTAGCTGAAATATGAGAGTCAGAGATCACTTGACTACACAGCCCAAGCCTCTCTGACTTAAAAAATCTACCACAGGGGAACATGGCTAAAGTCTCTATCCATTTCCAAGATGACTTCACAGTGAGGGAGGCCTGGGCTTAAAAAGTGGAAGCAGAGCCCTGGCTGGTGTGGCTCAGTTGGTTGGGTACCGTCCTGTGCACTAAAAGGTTGCTGCTTAGACTCCCAGGCGGAGCACATGCCTGGGTTGTGGGCTCAGTCCCCCAGTAGGCGTGCAGGAGGCAGCCAATGGATGTTTTGTTCTCACATTGGTGTTTCTCTCTCTCTCCCCTTCCCTTTCTCTTTCTCTAAAAATCAATAAAAATGTTAAAAAGTAAAAGTAAAAGCAGAAAAGAAGGCAAACCTTAATTTAAGAGTGAGCCACAATAAGTAGGCTAATATTTGTAGAACCCTTAGAACAGCCCCAGGTGCTCTAACTGGTTTGGCTCAGTGGATGGAGCGTCAGCGTGCGGACTCAAGGGTCCCAGGTTCGATTCCGGTCAAGGGCATGTACCTTGGTTGCGGGCATATCCCCAGTAGGGGCTGTGCAGGAGGCAGCTGATAGATGTTTCTCTCGCATCGATGTTTCTAACTCTCTATCCCTCTCCCTTCCTCTCTGTAAAAATTCAATAAAATATATTAAAAAAAAAAAAAAAAAAACAGCCCCAGGCACCCAGTGAACACTAGTTGTGTATTTCATAAACAAATAAAGTGTTGACACGTGGGTGTGGGAGGAGACCTAGTTAGAAACGCCCACCCTTGGGTGGCACTTGAGCTTTTTTTCACACTCTCATATCTCCCTGACCTTAGAAAAATCATGTCATTTTTAAACCTCAGTTTTCTTGCCCATGAAACAAAAATCATGCAATCCCTAACTCAAGAGGGTTCTTAGAAGTACCAAATGAGACCAGTGAGATATTAAAGATGAAAATATGTTATCTGGAAACTACAAAGCACTTTACAAATGTCATTACTATTACTATTGCTTCTTATTCAGAATTCCTGTGAGCGAAAGGACTAGAAAGATGTCCTGAGGCAGAGAATCAAACTTCTGGCGCTGGTGGGATTATCCGCCAGGATTATCTGCCCTTCTCTCCAGCCCCCTCGTTTGCACAGCCCCACCCCTCGCTGCTGGCCCAGCCAAGTAGGGAGGAGGGGAGAGCTGTGTCCCTGGCACCCGAAGTTGGAACACAGAGTGCCCTTTCTCCCTCTCTTACAAAATCAAGGCTGTGCAGAGTTCCTGGGAGTAAATGAACAGTGCATCCAGTGTGCCCGGCTGGCAACATTCAGGATTAGATAGACTTTGTGGACCGCCCTGAGCACCTGACGACCCAAGGTAACCTCATTTTCATGGGCACCGGCATTGTTTTAAATAACAGGCGTCGGTGCTCGTTTCGGCAGCACATCTACTAAAACTGGACTGATACAGAGAAGATCAGCCTGGCCCTTCGCAAGGATGACAGATTTGTGAAGCGTTCCATGTTAATTAATTAAGCGTCACATATTAATGGCTTTGTAAATACACTTAGGAATCCATAGCCTGTTTCAGAAGTGGGGACTGTTTGTACAGAACGAAATCAAACTGCTTGAAATATGGTAGGTACTTTAGAAAAGAATACAAAGCCTTCACATTACTGTAACTACCGGATATGGCCCCATGGGGAAGTTCCCTTTTCTTTTCCTTTTTAAAAATTTTCTTTACTGTTTGGGAAAGAGCCATCGTTACCTAGTGATTTGTCTCTAGAATTAAATCAAGGGGAAAAACAGAGGCCCATACACCCAACGGTTACAGGTTCGATTCCCCGTTAGGGCACATACCTAGATTGCAGGTTCAATCTCAGGTCAGGGCACAACCTATAGATGTTTCTCTCTCACATTGATGTATCTCTTTCTCTCTCTCCCTAAAAATCAAGAAAGAATATAATTGCCGAAGCCGGTTTGGCTCAGTGGATGGAGCGTCGGCCTGCGGACTGAAGGGTCCCGGGTTCGATTCCGGTCAAGGGCATGTGCCTGGGTTGCGGGCATATCCCCAGTGGGGGATGTGCAGGAGGCGGCTGATCGATGTTTCTCTCTCATCGATGTTTCTGGCTCTCTATCTCTCTCCCTTCCTCTCTGTAAAAAATCAATAAAATATATTTAAAAAAAAAAAAGAAAGAAAGAATATAATTAAGTAGGATTTTTTAAAAAGTGTGTGTGAAGAGGACTCCATCGATGCCATGTGTAGGAATTAGCTGCCATAGAGGTTAAAAAGCAATATAAAGCTACCAACGAAAGATTCAGCTGAAAGGTAATGAGGAAGTTTTTATCTGGCACATGAGTTCAAGAGGGAAACCTGCAAGCTGACGAAAATCCTTTGTAAATATAGCTGTAATCAACTTTCCAATATGTCATCAATGGCAGAGATTGGGTGAATTCTGCCTAGAAATATTTAGATCAAGCTCCTTTACCTGAAAGAATGTGAGAAGGTAACTAACATTAGATGTTATTTCATTTTTGTTCCCTATAACTCCAGCATGTAAGTATTAATAAGATTAGAAGGTTGCGTTGGTGGAAGAGTAGTGAGCATAGCTGCCTTCCAAGATTAGAGAACTGATTCTTAAGAATGATTTGTAGTTTGTCCAAGTCACACAATTATCAAATGGTGGAGCCAGGATGGTCTGACTTTAGTCCAGGGTCATTCAACCACACCATGTCATCTCCACTATGCAGCTTTATGAAAGAGCCACACTACTGCACTTCCACAAGGTAGACAGGAAAACAACCAGTCTGGAAAGAAGAATGAAATTTGGTTCCCATACATTTGGTACAGGAGTTCAGATACCTTTAGCTACCTGATGAGTATTTTATCTGGGTGGTGCTTGTCTTTCTGGTTCATATATATATATATATATATATATATATATATATATCTCCCCAGGTGAGGATTAAAAAATTCTTTTTAAGTAGTACAGAAGCTATAAGGAACAACACATTATCTTACTAATGAATATTTAGGTAATTTCTAATTTTCTTAGGATAAACTATGAACATGCTTGTATAGGTGTTCAATATATTGCTTATGAAAAATATTACTTCTTAAAATGGTCTTTAAAAACCAGATGATCACGTTTTAAAAAATATTTTTTATTGATTTTTATAGAGAGGGAAAGAGAAAAGGAGAGAGAAACATCAATGTGAAAGCCCAACATTGATTGGCTGCCTCCTGCACACCCCCTACCAGGGATCAAACCTGCAACCTGGGCATGTGCCTTGACCAGGAATCGAACTGGCAACCCTTTGGGGCATGGGATGACACCCAACCAACTGAACCACACTGGCCAAAGTGACCACCTTTTTTTCTCTCTCAGTCAAGAGCATTTATTTCATTTTTTTCAGTTACAGTTTGCATTAGTTTCAGGTGTACCACATAGTGGTTAGACAATCGTATACTTTACATTGTGTTCCCCCTGATAATTGTATTACCCACATGACACTATACATAGTTATTACAATATTATTGACTATATTCCCTGTACTGTACTTTAGAAAAGCTAGATGCCCATCTTCTTGGCATGGCTAAATAGATTTTTCTGGGAGTTAAAGAATGTATATGATGGAATGATAATTCTTTTTAAAAAATATCTTTTTATTGATTTCAGAGAGGAAGGGAGAGGGAGAGATAGAAACATCAGTGATGAGAGAATCATTGATTGGCTGCCTCTGGCATATCCCCTACTGGGGATCGAGCCCACAACCCATGCATGTGCCCTGACCTCCTGGTTCATAGATCAACGCTCAACCACTGAGCCATGTCGACTGGTCAATACGATAACTCTTTAAGATTACTTAAGACCCAATTAATATCAGCCAAAATGTGACTGAGACCAGGACCACAGAGAATATACTCAGGGTCCAGTCTGAGGTGAGGAAGAACTCTCAGAGCTCTTATTCTGGACTGAATGTTTTATTTCCCAACAAAATTCAAATGCTGAAATCCTAACCCTCAGCATGATGGTATTTGAAGGTTGGGTCTTTGGGAGGTGCTTAGGTCGTGAGGATAGAACCCTCACGAATGGGATTAGTGCTCTTATACAAGGGACCTCAGAGTGTTTCTTTTTTTAAAATATATATTTTATTGATTTTTTACAGAGAGGAAGGGAGAGGGATAGAGAGTTAGAAACATCAATGAGAGAGAAACATCGATCAGCTGCCTCCTGCACACCTCCTACTGAGGATGTGCCCACAACCCAGGTACATGCCCTTGACCAGAATCGAACCTGGGACCTTTCAGTCCGTAGGCCGACGCTCTGCCAAACCGGTTAGGGCTCAGAGTGTTTCTTGAGCCTTCCACCATGTACACAAGAACACAGCAAGAAGAAGGCCATCTATGAACCAGGAAGTGGGCCCTCATCAGACAATCTGCCAGAGTCTTGATCTAGGATTTCCAGCCCCCAGAACTATGAGAAAGAAATGTTTGCCGAACCGGTTTGGCTCAGTGGATAGAGCGTCGGCCTGCAGACTGAAGGGTCCCAGGTTCGATTCCGGTCAAGGGCACCAAGAAAAAAATAATAATAATAAAAAATAAAAAAAAGAAATGTTTGTTGTTTAAGCCACCAGTCTCCGGTGCTTTTGTTACAGCAGTCCGAAAGGACTAAGACAGCTCTCACGCATGTACGCTTGGGAAGGAAAGGTGAACCTGATGGACATGTGATGTATTTTCCTGTGAAGGCCCGGACCTAACAAAGAAACCAGGGGCAAAGAGGAAAAGTCAGGCTGAGTGGAAGCGGCTTTCTGAGCAATGCGGCGCCTGAAGCTGAAGGTCCAGGTGGCATCCAGGAGGAAGGTCACCTGGATACCCGAGGCTGAAAACACAGGAGGTTAAGACGCGGTGCCTTCCACTTTCCCCTCTGTGGCAGTTCTCTTACAAGTGGCCTAATCCTTGAAACAACCGAAAACCTTCCAAAGTCTGGGCTCAGGTTTGCTGCAGGCGACGCCTTCCTTAGGTTCTGTACCAACCCCGTCTCTGACAAACGGGCATTCATCCTCTGCCTCAGGCCCTACAGGGACCAGCAACTCCCTGTATCCTCCTTGTAGACTGGTCTCAGGTCTTCCGTACTTTCATAGTCAGGAGATACCCTATGTCTCCCACCTAAGCTAAGCTTAACTTTCTTTGTCCATATTTTAGAAACAAAGTTGAGGACAGGAGGTACGCTGTAGCATTAGAGTGGTGACAGCATAGGAAGATGGGACTCGATTCAGGCCTAGATACTTTTCAGCACTGGACTAGACCAGAACTGTCCGCATAGTTCCCTTAACTAGTCACACAAAAACATTCTTTTACTTGAGATAACAGAGTATTCCTATGAAGTGTCTTTAGACTATAGTGCTGGGTCCACTTTTGACATAAGCACAGTGCAGGGAATACAGCCTGACCCTCCTTGACCAGCAAGCGAGCAGCACTTGGCTCTGGAAAATCTCCCTTGCCATGAATGCTTGAAACAAATGCCTCTTTCTTGGCCCTCGTTGCTAAAGGAACACGGCTGTAGCGACTGAATAGTTATCTGGCCCAGATCTCCTGCCAAACCTGCCAGCTCTAACAGCATTTCTAGGAAGGAGATTCCACAGGGACTGTTTCCGCAGGAGAACTGTTTCAAATGATCAACAGCCCACACTGAAAAGAAAATATCATTTTTTTCCCAAGTTGTAGGAAAGAAACATGGGAAAGGACCTGGCATGTTCAGATTCAGCCAGAGGTTTTGATTCTGCCTGCAGCTCTGTTCTGACGTTTGGATCAGGGACAGGTTCCTCTAAAGCCCTCTTTTCTCATATCCCTTCCCTCTCTGCTGATGGAGGAGAGAAGAGCCCATCCTCTGGACTGTTTCGGTTGTATGTGTCTCATGTCTCCAAGTAGGTTGGGAGATTTAGGACAGCAGCTATCACACTGCTTTAGCTCAGCCACTAACTTGTTGGGTGATTATTAAAAATTAAGGCTGCTAGATCATAGGGTAGGGAAATGCTGTAACCACAGGATTTCAGCCAGATCTCTTACTACATTCTTTCGAATTAGGTGGAGAAACACAAGCTGGGTGAGGATGGAGACAATGCACCTCACCAAAGAGTTCTGATTGATGGGATCATGTGAATCCAGGGGAAAGATTCTACTTAGACTCTGTCCTGGTGAAAATGTTGTCCATGACTTGGATGAGGACAGGAGACCATCTGATGATTCTGCAGCCGATATGAAGCCAGCGGAGGCCGTGAATGGAGAGGATGTCAGGATCAGAAACCAAAGAGAGCTCATCAGGCTGGAGCAATGAGGAGAATTTGGCAAGACATAGTTAACAGGAGAAAAGCCACGTACCAGGCACTAGGTGGGGAGATGGGCTTTCATAACGAACACATGAAGGATTTAAGATGAGGTTAATGCACACAGCCAGAGACGTGCTAAGATGACTTAAGGCTGTATTTATAGAGGCATACTGTCAAGAGTAAGGGAGGTAATTGACCT